AAACTACTACTACTGTATGTATGTGAAGTCTATACAGTCACACCAGCCATTGTCTATTAATTGAGGTTTTTGCTCCTAGCAATCAGAACCAGTACCTTATGATTGAAAGTTTGTAAAGGAAGAACTGCTGTTTCCCATAGCAACCTTCTACTCCTGATACTTCCTGGTACTTTCATGCTTTCAGTTCAGATAATCTGATTGGAGACTATAGGCAACAAGAGTTCCCTTCTAACTCTTTTCATTATCAGGACCAGTGCAGACCTGGGCGATCTGGGACGCGCGTCCCAGGACGTATGATCATGCACAATGGCGTACAGTTTTTTTATGCGGCCCCATTGTTTACATCCGCGTGGCAATCGCAGAAAAATACCTTTTTTTGCTACACACGACGCGTGGTTGTTTTAGCCGCGATCGTGTTCGAATGCACGGGAGGAACTGCTCTATTCGAAAATAATGGCATTGCCAGTGTGATCAGCGGTGGTGGGTGACACCCTGGTCACACGGCAATCCACGCGGTATGCCACACGACTTTAGTCTTTTGAGCATGTTCGAAAACCAGCCGAGAATCGTACGATTTTCGGCTGGTTTGTAGCAGGATCGTAAGATAAATGCCGCACGGGCCGGTGTGCGCAAGCGCACACTGCCCTTCAGCATTGCGGTCATCGGAAGCCCGCCCCTCAGCGGGGCGGGCATGCGATTATCGCAAGTACGATCTGCCTGTCCAAGATGGGCAGATCGTACGTTTTTTTAATTACCTTACAACCATCGCAAGACAAAAGTCTTGCGATGGTTGTAAGGTGTGTGGCCAGCTTTACACAGCCAGCATCTGGATATGCAAGCACCTTGGTGGGGCACAACCAATATTCCAGCTGATACACTTCTGTGCTGCAAGCAAGCAAACATGCCGTACTGTTACTTTCCTGATTCTACTGATTTTTCAGTGGATGGACAGCTGTCTATGAATTTTTCAACATTTTACACCTGTAATAAGTGCATACAGCATTTATTCTAAAGTGATTTTCATGTGACTTCAGCCCCTTCCACATGGTCCAATCAGGAGGGATCCATGCGCGGAACAGATGTCACCATTGTGAGAACACGTTCATCCATTTTTTTTCCTCCTTCGTAACACTAAAATGACTGGACCCATTTTGGTCTATGAGAAAGCAGATGTAAATGGATTTGTGTCCGTTTACATCAGATTACCCCCGGTCCGGCATGAGCAGGTCCACCAAAACAGAACTCTGATCGATTTTGTTTTTCCAGACCTGAACTGTGCCAGGGGTAACCTGAGGTAAACAAATCCATTTAGATCCAGCTGCCCATAGACTAACATGGGTCTTCCGATCAGTTCCACTTGAAAAAACTGACAGGCGGACCTGATCAGAAAGCCCATGTGAAAGGGCTCTTTAGTAAAATGAGCACGGAACCTTTGCAGCGTGGGGGTAGCCCCACTGCAAGGATTCCGAAACTTTTTTTTTTTTACTTTAAACACGATTTGCAGGATGGATAATTTCGCTATTTGACCTTTAAAATTCTAATTTGTCAGAAGATTGGAGTTGTCCTTTAAGCCAATGTTATTTTTACAGCTATTCTTTGTTTAATAAGTCTGATCGTTAATATACACCAAGTATAGCGATGGTTGGTATTTATCTTCGCGTAGTGTACCGGCCTGTGCTGGGTTTTTTTTTTCCGTGCCATAAAATAAATTGGATTTGTACAACATGTCAAAGTGGAACATCAAGCACCGTGCACCTAAACACGTTGTAAGTCTGTTCTTTGTAATTCCCATTCAGCCAACATCAGATACACTATTAATTAAATTCAGTGTTAGTGTTCTGCAAGCAAGCAGGCGTTCATGAAACTCCTAGACCATACAAGCCAATGAAGGGGAAAGCGCATCTTCCATTGGAATAAGCAGGCTGGTCCTATAGAAAATAATTGCCTGCTTTACATTTTAGGCCCATCCAATTTAGAAAGGATTTCTGTGTACGGAGAACACAGGGCTATTTAGGAAAGCAGAGCTCATGCTTGGGTTAGTTCACACTGTGTCAGCTTCGTGCTGGAAGATCGTCTGTATTTCCTCTGTGGCATGATGGCGTTTAATTGGCTTGTGCTGTCTGTCAGCCATTAGAAAATCTGCAGCTCTACAATCATTTCTGATTGCTATGTTGGATTAGAAGACTTCAAAGGCTGATATAAAATGTAATTGTTTATAGAAGATTCATGAAAAACAGAACCCCCATGCAAAATCCCAATATGTGTCATGATAATTAGATGTGAGTAACTTTGCTCATTAGTGTGCCAGTTTATAACAAGGTGGCCCATGGAGCTGAGCCTTCAGCAGCATCAGATTTTGGTTTGTGTGTCAAGTCCGGCAAATTCTGATTGGTTGGTATGAATTACTGTGCCGGCCATGTAGGCATTGGACTTTTAAAGTGTAAGTCCAACCAAAACTTTTCTTTAGGCCTTGATTAGATGGGCCACGGGCCCCATTTAACTTGTATACATTCAGAGAGGCCATTGCATTACTTAGATGTTGTTAGATCAAAAGGAGATGATGATGATGCATTGCCACCAGAACAGGAAGTGAGGGTAATCCACCAATTGGTCTACAGAGAGACAGTAAAGTGACACTAAACCCAGGAGTTCAATCGCAAAAATACATTAAAGTACCTCAACTAGTAGCAATACTGTAGCTGATTTGTGAATCACTCGACTGTAGATCCTCAAATCATCTCTGAATTGGTGATGCCAGTGTCCTTCCTTCTGGAGGGTGGCTACTTTTGTTCCCCATGGTCCCTGTGTGTGTTGTAAAGTAGCCACCACTCCAAGCTCACTCCTGTGATGGACTACAATCTCACATTTAGTTTACTAATCTGTACTGAGAATTTAGCCCATCACAGGAGCTAGCTTGTAGCGGTAGCTGAATTCATACTGACACTGTCCTTCCTTCTGGAGGGTGGCTACTTTTGTTCCCCATGGTCCCTGTGTGTGTTTTAAAGTCGCCACCGCTTCAAGCTCGCTCCTGTGATGGGCTACAATCTCAGTACAGATTAGTAAACTAAATGCAAGATTTTAGTCCATCCGGGGAGTGAGATTGGAGCATTGACTACTTTACAACCCACACAGGTACCATGGGGAACAAAAGTAGCCCCCTCCAGAAGGAAGGACAGTGTCAGCACCAATTCAGAGATGATTTGAGGATCTACAGCCAAGTGATACACAAATAAGATACATTTTTTTTTAAGTTGTTTTTAACAAAAATGTTTTTAAGGTTGAACTCCTGGGTTTGGTGTCACTTTAAAACTGACTGTTGTTCTAACACTTTCACACACTATCTGAAATTTAAAAAAAAAATTGACTGAAGATAAAATTTTGAATATTTAAGAAATTGAAAGTCTGATTGATTGGTTGCTCGAGGGTTGTTTTCCTCACAATTATTACTATTTGTATTCAGGATTTGTAAAGCGCCAACAGTTAGTGCATCGTTTTTTCGAAAATAAAGGAAAACGTTACCATTGCAATACAATTCAAGACAAGATGGTTAGGAGGGTAATTGCTAATAAGAGCTAGTGATACAAAAGGTAGTAACTGTGTGGGGAAGAATTGTTTTAGAAAGTAAAATTACAGTTTTTAGGTAGAGGTGAGAAAGGCTTCCCTGAAGAGGTGAATTTTCAGGGATCAACTAAAGGTGGACAGAGTAGGAGGTAGCTGGACAGATTGGGGTGGGGAGTTCCTGAGGATGGGAGAGATTACAGAGAAGTTCTGGAGGCGAGCATGGGAGGAAGCAATGAGGGAGTTAGAAAGCAGGAGGCCTTAGGAGGAACATAGTGGATGGTTTGGGGGGTTTGGGTGATAGTTTGAGACGAGGTTGGTGGTGTAGCCGGTAGCAGAGTTGTGGATGGCTTTGTATGTCGCTGTTAGTATTTTGAATTTATTCATCGGGAGATCAGAAGCTTGGCAAAAGGGGGTGGCGGATACTGAGCGGCTTGTAAGGTGGATGAGCATGGCAGCAGCATTCATGATAGACTGAAGGGGGAATAGCTCGTGTAGAGGTAGGACACAATGAATGAAATATTTTGTTTGCTCATATATTGTACGTCAGAACACCCCAACAAACCAGCGAGGGACACAATATCAATCATTTTTACTATTTGTGGAAAATTGAAACTTTTTGTGTGTTATTGTAATCAACATGATGAAACCAGTTAATGAAATTCCCTTTTACCATGTTCTGCATTTATAGAACATATTTCCCTTCTGAATGCACCAGCAGATTTGCCCAATCGAGCAACATTTACCAAATTCTGCAACGAGAAAATCAGGTCTCTGAAAGGTTTACTATATCTATAATGGAAGCATTGTTATATTTGCCAAAAATGATCCTTGATTACTCTCAGCAGGCAACACATTGATTTTTATCAGTGACTATTCATGCTGACCCTTCCACAATTACCCTCAGCATCCACCACTAAAAAATATAACTACCATGAATTGCAGGAGAAGCATAGACGAATGTCTGATGAATGTAGACATATCTAGAACATAGAGGAGGGATTTACTGTTGTTTTCTTAGTACGCCTCTTAGTATAAGTGCTACATATTCCATATAACAGCCATAGATGATGAAATAACAATAATCATATAGGAGAGTCAAATGCCCAATCCCAGACTTGTGGCCAGCTCCTAAGCTGAACAATTTTTCGATTAAACATTATTGCAAAATCACTAGTAACACTCCAACTTTTCTAGTATGTACATTCAGCAGTGCTATATAATATTAAAACATCAATCAGGTGCAGGAATATGCAAATGAATGTATATTGCGTATTGTGTTTGCTTCTTCCAGTGCTAGTTACCTGGTTGTCTCTGGCCTCAATACTTTGAGCCATAGACCTGGATAAGCATACGGTAAGGGAGGTGAAAACTCCTTATCTGCAAACTTGTTCCAGGTCTTAGATGCAATATATATATGTTCCCTTTACTTTATATTGCAGGTATCGGAAAGTGGTAGCCAATGTGTGTGAAGGGGGTATTGACCTTCAGGAAAATCTTGTTCGTTTCCAGTGTCCCTTACTAGCACCCAAAGGTCTGCACATCTCTGTGAGAGGAGACTCATTTGCTGTGAAGCCGGGGGAGGATATCACATTCATAGTACTGCAGGACCAGGTAAATTCCATGGGCGTGGGTATAAAAATTACGCAGCTGGTTAACGGTATGGAGATCGTAGGTTCAATTTCCAACCCTTGGACACTTTCTGCAATGCAGTGGTTCTCCCTTTCCTTGTGAGGCTGAACAAGAAAAAATAAAAAGAGTATGGGCAGCTTAAAACCGAGGGGGTCCCGAAGATGACAGGGAGGGGAAAGAGGTGCTATGATATAAGTGTAACTTCAACATTATTCAATAACACTTAAAATACAGCTGGAGATCATTTGGCTACAGTGAACTCTGTCCTTCAGCTTCCTGATCTTTGTGTGAATGTGTGTGATCCATGTGTGAACTTTCCATTGTTTCCCACAGGGTGATATTCTGAACACCAAGTACCAAGTCAACTTGGGAGATGGCTTCAAGGCAATCTATGTGAATCTTACCTTGACTGGTGAGCCCATTCGACACCGTTATGAGAGTCCCGGAATATACAGGGTGTCTGTGAAAGCAGAGAATGTGGCTGGCCACGATGAAGCTGTGATCTATGTGCAGATCATCTGTAAGTAACTTTCTAACATATATTAATACACTGTGGGGGTATCATTTAAAATTATTGCCTCAACAATATATTGACACCTTCAGAAATCAATAAAATAATAATTATTATTATTATTACAGAATTCCAGCTAAAAACAACAAGATAAAAATAAATAGCGCATAAAAAAAAAGAAAAACAGCATATGCAGCAATATTCACTTTTAGTTTAGAGATTTCGCCTGCCATACTTTTTTTTGCCACTAGATTTGCTCAGTCTGATGGCCAGCATCATTCACCCCCTTCCTCTGAGCCCAGGTCAAGATGGGCGCACCCCCAGCCTGTGAATGGACAGAGATAGTCGAGGCAGCACAGTGATGTGAGCTTATCTCTGTTTAGAGTTCAGCTTTAACTCTGCAAAATAAACTGGATATGCTGACTGAATGTGACTTTGCTTTTTCTCTGTGGGTCTATTTAAAACCCAGAAACAAAATTGTAATATACTGTATATTGAAACTAACGAGTCTTTAATTGTGCTGGGTGCATTTGTTTTGTTTTTATAAGCTCTTTTTCCGGTAACGCACTTCCTGTGTGACATCGCTCATTAACCCATCTGTATCGAGGCAACAGACTAAGGACAGAACTACGTAAACTACATAAACTTCCCCCTGTCCTCTTTGCCATAACATACATGAAGGGGGGGGGTCAATAGTCCTTAGAGATAAATGAGAACTGATAAGAATGCAGCACAGGAAGTTATCACCTGCAAGATCAACAAGCATTTTATGCACTTATTGTTTGGCCATTTTGTGAGACTCTAATCCAGGGGTGGCCACAATGTTTGTATTAAGATCTACTTTTCAAATGACGAGATACATGAGATCTACCAACGAAAAAAAACCTCTCTCCTCGCTCTCCTGGCTGTCTTTCCTTGCGCTCTCTCCCCTGGCTGTCTCTCCCCGCTCTCTCTCCTGGCTCACCTTGCTGTATTTTGCAAACAGTGCAGTGCAACAGGCTGGGTAAACTAATATTCTTTGATGTAATACATAGCACTTCAACCACCAGTATCCACCAGAAAGGTGTCAGGGAGCTTGGCTCAGCAGACTCAGGCTAATAGGTAATCATGTGTGCACAGCTAAATAAATATACCAAAATGGAATAAAGGGGCCGCCATTCACACCCTTCGTGATCTACCAGCATCAGCTTTGAGAGCTACTGGTATATCACAATCTACCTAATGGGCAGGGGCGTCCCGAGGCTGGGTGACACCCGGAGCGGTTACCGAGTGTCACCCCACCTACTCGCCACTGTGCATGTGCGTGACGTCACTACGCGCGTGCGCGATGACGTCATCGCGCGGCACTCTTCTGATACCTTCCGGTGGCCATCTTGGTGATGGACGCGGCAGAGAGAGGAGGGGACATTCACCCAGCGGGTCCCCTCCTCTCTCTCCTGATACTGTCGGGCGTTCGGTCCATGACCGAGCGCCCGACTTTTCAGAGAGGAGTGACACCAAAATGACTGTCAGTCATTTTGGTGTCACCCCCTCCAATGGTGCCACACGGGTGCGGGCCGCACCCCCCTTGTGACGCCACTGCTAATGGGCACTTCTGCTCTAATCCAACTACGGGTCATTAATCCCTCCAAATAATTTTGCTGCACAAGCTAAAAAATGTGAAGCCTGCACAAATTTAATTCTTAAGGTCCTTATGAAAAGTGGGCTGAAAAAGGAGATTTCTGGTTGCCTGTAACAATCATTCAGCCTGTAGCAATCATTATTGCAGAGTAAGAATGAAACTTTAGGATAAGATATTTAATCTTAGAATCATATGATTGAATTTCTGAATTGAATAATTGAAAGACTGGCAACTAGAGTCAGAAATTTAAAACAAAAATGAAATAAATTTTTTGGAGAAGTCTCCTATTTAATAATGTAATACCTCAGGATATTAATCATACAGATATCGTTTAAGGTAAAGATAAACTAAAATGTCAAATAGAAAAAAAAAATTGTAAAAACTAAAATCATGAGATGTGTATGTTTTGCAGTTTGGAAACTGTACAGTTAATGGTAAGCAGTAGTATTCAATTTAAATGTCATGTACTGGTAACTAGAGTCAGAAAACCAAAAATGGGGCTACTTTTTGGAGAAGTCTCCCATTCATCAAGCTCTATATTTATGTAATATCAGAGGAAATTAATGATACAGATATATTTTGACGTAAGAATACCTAAATTATTTGTATAAATATATTATATATGTTGTGCTAAAAAGATAATATATTTTTTTTAAATAAACAATTTATAGATTAT